CTTGATTTCATTTGCACACTTAAAAACCTACTGGTGCGTATATGTGTGTGTGTGTGTGTACACACATATGCAATATCTATAATAATGTGGTTGTTGTGTGTGTGTGTGTGTGTACATGCATATACAATATCTATAATAATGTGGTTGTTGTTGTGTGTGTCAAGGCCGGAAATGACTCATAACTGACCCTTTAATGGATTTTAAGAAGCTATAATTAACACAGGAGTTTCCCCATCTTTCTCAGATGGAGGAGTCCTGATGGGTTCAAGCTGCCTGCCTTTGGGTTGGCAGCACAACTCCTTAGCAACATGGCTCAAATGTCTTAGTCAAGTTTATAAATCGGGTTTAGTGGATGAAAGTAAAAATGCATTTTCTGTCTTGAGAAAACAAACTAAACTCATTGTTGACTCATAGAAGATCTTCTGTTGTGATTTCTGAGATTGGAACTCTGATGGGGGTGATTGCCTATCTTTCTTTCATAGAGGTGTGAACTTTGGTGCAATTCTCTAAAGACTAGGTCACCAAAGTCCCCTTTAGAAAATAAAGTAAAATAAGCAAGAGCAGAACTTTATTATAAAGTAAAGACTCAAAGCTGAGCAGACTGCTGTTTTATTTTGTTTTGGTTTTTCCTAGGATGGGCTCCTTCTACGCTCCCTGCCTCCCAGGCATCAACATCCTTCGACTACACACATCTATGTACTTCCAGTGTTGGGCTGTGATGTGCTGCAACGTTCCGGAGGCCAGAGTCTTCAAAGCTTCCAGATCAAACAATTTCTACCTGGGCATGCTGTTGCTCATCCTCTTCCTCTCCACCATGCCTGTCCTGTACATGATCGTATCCCTGCCACCGTCGTTTGATTGCGGCCCTTTCAGGTCTCTCCCTTTCAATTCTTCTTTGGTGTATTTTTTACTCAGGAGCAGAGAAGGAGATTATCACTCATTGTATAAATGATATTTTGTTTTCAAACAGTGTCATTTTTCATTCTGTAGAAATGAAATCCAGTGGGTTTTCAGGCTTAAGGTATGACATGAAGATTGAGTCTTGGGCAAGTTCAATTTATTTCCTCATTTGGAAATCATAGATAGAACAATTTAATAGTCCCAAACCCTGATATTTCCGTAAGAGGAGATAACTAAGAAAAAGGTTTAAGGAAAACATGTGAAATTTTTCTTGTTGTTGGACTGCTACATCCAGATACAATAAGCTATTTCTCATATAACAAAAAAGTAGATTGACCTGCAAGCTACCATGAGCAAATGGATTGATGATTATAGTGCCTACAAAAAGGGCCACAAAATTTATATGCCAAATGCTTCATGCTAAAAAGAAAACTACCTAGACTAAGAAGCTCTTGTCAGAACTGAACAAGGGAACACTGAAAGATTTAAAGTTAAGAAATGTGCATCATTGTTGTATCCTTCCTCAATACCTATTCAATCTGTATGCTGAGCACATCATTAAAGAAGCTTACACTATGAAGAAGAATGTGAGATCAGGAATGGAAGAAGACTCATCAACAGTATGTATTATGCAGATGACACAACCTTGCTTGCTGAAAGTGAGGAGTACTTGAAGCAATTACTGCAGAAGATCAAAACCTATACTTTTCCATATGGATTACATCTCAGCATCAATAAAACAACAATTCTTACCACTGGACTGAGAGACAGCGTCAAGATAGATGGAGTAAAGACTGAAGTTGCCAGCAATTTTAACTTGGTCGGATTCACAGTCAAAACACTTGATACCAGCAGTTAGGAGATCAAGAGACTTACTGCACTGGGCCATTCAGCTGTCAGGATTCTTTCCAAATAACTGCAGAGCAATGATGCCAGTTTGAACAGCAAGTTGCACCTTATTCAGACCATGGTCTTTTCAGTTATTTGCTATACTCTGAGAGCTGGACAGTGAATAAATGTTTTTGTTGTTGTTGTTGTTATGTGCCGTCGAGTCGTTTGTGACTCATAGTGACCCTATGTGCAACAGCCCTAAACCATGCTCTACCTCGTGCCAATCTCATTGCCTCTGACACACCCATCCCGATTACCCCAGTCACTGGATCAATCCACCTCATAGAGGGTCTTCCCCTCCTGCGCTGTCCCTCTATTCTACCCAGCATGGTGTCCCTCTCTAAAGACCTGTCTCTCCTTACAACATGTCCAAAGTATGTCAGGCGAAGCCCCAGAATCCTTGCCTCCAAGGAGCAGCCTGGTTTAACCCTCTCTAGGATGAATCTGTTTGCTTTCTTCGCAGTCCATGGTACATTCAATACTCTTCTCCAGCACCACAGCTCAAAGGTGTCAATTCTCCTTCTATCCTCACAGAGGAAAAATTAGTGCCTTTGAGCTGTGGTGTCATAGAAGAGTACTGAATATTCCATAGACTGCCAAAAGATCAAACAAATATGTCTTGATAAAAGTGCAGCCAGATTACTCCTCAGAGGCAAAGATGGCAAAGCTTCATCTCACATATTTTGGACATGTTGTTTAGAGAGGTTATTTCTTCAAGAGGGACATCATGCTTGGAAGGTGGAGGATTGGACAAAGAGAGGAAGCCTTCAGCCAGTAAATTGACACAGTGATTGCAGCAATGGACCCAAGCATGTAAGAAATGATGAGAATGGCACAGAATAGAACAGGATTCAGATCTGTAGATTCATAGGATCGCTGTGAGTTGCACTTGACTCGATGACACCTAATTACAACAAGAAGCATGAATAATAACAAGGATTTTTCTTATATAATTTTTCTCTACTGGCTTAATCCTTAGGGAGTTGTGCCACTATCCATAAGCAGACCCTCTGGCGATTCAAAACCCCCAGGAGCTCTGACTGAGAAACATGAACAATATCCTTGATTTCATTTGCACACTTAACCTACTGGAAGGTCAGCTATGACTTGGTTCTAAATTGATGTCAATGTGTTTTAGTTCACTCAAGACGTGACTGAAAAATTAAGAAGGCTCTTTAATCCAAGCTGAATATATACATTTCTAGTCTTCTGTGACATAAATCAATAAATCAGTTATAGATCTATCTAAAGGACTTTAGAAATTGACCTTCCATAGTCCCCCAACAAGCTATATGCTGTCTCAATAATTAGCATGTGTTTGAGTTAGTTCTGTCTTTTAGTGAAGAAGGAAACATGAACATGAAAAGCAATGTGAATGACAAGCATGACGCTGCCGACAGTGGGTGTATATAATTTCTCCCTCATGCCATCAGACCCACTTTATTTTAAAGGCCAAGGGTTCTTTGATCACAGATCAAGCATAAGCATAAAAAAGTCAGTTTCACTATTATAGTCTTGCTATTACTCTAAAAGTCATGTTAAGGCAGTTGATAAGGCAGAGCTTGCTGGGGCTCTGTCATTTTCAGGTGCTTGTGTGCCTTGCAGGTTTGGGTTTTCCTTCTCACAGGGACTGAAATTAACAATGTAGAGAGTGGCACCTGCAGGCTAAATATGAAATTGCAGTTTTAATAATGGTTGTTATTAAACCCTCTAGCAAATCTTAAGGTACAAAGTTCAAAAGTAAGCAAATATTTCCGTTAATTGCACATTACCAGTACAACGTAGTAATATTTAGACGTGCTTTTATGTTTTTAATTGAAAGTTGATCTTTTTCAGTAAGATACAGCAAAGACCTTAGCAGTCTACAGGGAAAATAAAAAAAGTAAATCAATAAATGGAGTGGAATGGTAGTTAGGTAGATGTGCTTATATTCAAATGTCATTAAGTTAGATACATAACTTACATAAAATTTCTGCACATTTTTAGGTTTTTGAACCACAATACCAATGCCTCTTTTTCTGCTAGAGCACAAGTTACTCTGATTTGTACTGGGGGTTGAGGGAGAAATTAATATCTAAGGCAGAGAACTTACTTTGACAAAATACTTCCAAAATGGCAAACATAAGCAAAAACGTCACCTGTATTTCAGTATTTTGTGTTTAGGGAACTTTAATATTTTTGGTGGAGTATGACAATGCTTGAGTAGAAACGCAGAGACAAGGACCTTTTCCCCAGTATTGCCTCAGACAGAAATCCCTCCTTAAAGTATATGGGATTGGATTTAGAGCCTCCTAAACTTGAGATGTGCAGCGACATGAGAGACCACCAGCAGCGTGAGGCATGAGGTGTCACAAAAATGACATGAGACCTGAGCCATCATATCAAGGGTTGGCTGAGGGGGCGGGGGGGAGAAGCTAGACAGGGTTAGGTGAGAGCAAAAGGGGATGCTGGTGAAGCAGGGAAAGGATGGGACAAGACTGGGACAAGACACATGTGCCAAGGAGGTGGTGACTGACACTGGATCCCCTGATTGTTTCTGTATGGGGGAAGTGTTTTTCATCTGATCCTTTTGGTTAAATGCTTGACTGTCATATTCCTCTAAAACTGAGCATCCAAATTAGACAGACTAGGAAGAAGGATTGATTGTCCACTTCTGAATCAATAGGCCTTCAAAAACCCTGTGAAGAATAGACTATTCTTAAAGTAGACTAGCAGATATGGCACCTAAGATTGAGCCCTCAAATTTGGAAACACACATGAAGAGGAACAGTGTTAAGCTAATGATTGGAACATGGAATTTGAGAAGCCTAATGTAGGAAAACCAGAGATTGTTAAGAAAGAAATGAGGTTCATTCAGTCTTACCTCTTTCCCAATGCAGGAGTCCCTTCTCCAAGGCGACTTTCACCTTGACCACTTGCAGCGACTACCTCACCACGCAGACCACTCATTTCTTAAGAAGCTGTCCCTTAGAAAGCTCTTCCTTAAATGGAATAGTAGCCTCTCTCCTGGTGACTTCTGCCCAGGGACCCCGGCTGGCCTCAGAAAGAACCCTGAGAATGTTTGGAAAGACGAATCTTGGGCCCTCTGCCATGTCTTCTCTTTAAAAGATGCTTGGAGCCATTTCCAGAAAGGTTCATTAGACACACTGGTAGAGTCATCACAGCTGATGGAATACAAGGTATAGCTGAAAGGAGCATGCTGGTTTTCCATTATGCACATACCAGGACTTCGCCTCAGTCAAGCAGAAGCAGATGACAGTGTTCCTGGAAGCGTTAGTGAGGTGCCTCTTGGCAGTTGCTGGCCCTCTAAGAAGCTATTTCATTGCTTTCTGATTGCATCTTGTGAGAGTCCATCTTCAGCTCAGGAGGGGAAATTCCGATCTCCTGTCTGAACTAGGATTTGGACAGCACTGGTGGTGTCGGCGCGAGCCCAGCTCAGGGCACTCCATCCGTTGTGCACCCCCTTCAAACAGCACGGCATCAGGCCTCACTTTGTAGACAGTGCTACCAGGATCTTATCCTCACATGGAAGAGAAAAGCCTGTTTGCTTGTTTAACCTCTGCATGGAAGGTGGCATCCAAAATAGCTGATCTGTAATATCAGCTTCTGCACTTAGGACTACTTCAGATAAATGGTGATGATGGTGAATGGTCTCCTGTATCCAGACACTCCATTCAAACAGTGGCATTGAATTAGGAAACCCAGGAGTCAAATATTCAGGAGCCCTCTGAGTGTAGCTGTAAACTTGGGGTTTATTTTGGCCTATATTAGACCTTGTAAGTGAAATAAAGCTTTTTAATGATTTTTTTTTTAAAAAGAAAGAAATGGAACACATAAATACTGCCAAAATCAAATAGATTTTGGCATGGGTCATTTTGAATCTGACAGTCATTATCTTCTATGCTGGAGATGAAAAGGCAAGGGAATATGGGGTCATTTTCATAGTTAAAAAAGTCTTTTCTAGTTTTCTCTTGAAATACAATGTTGTGAGTGACAGGATAATATCCATACACGTACAAGTCCAGTGAATATCACTATCATTCAAATATATACACCAACAGCCAGAGCAAAAGAGGAGGAAA